ATTCAGCGCGTTCTACATCTTAAATCCGCAGTGCCGCCGAGCAGACATGTCAAAAAGAGAGGAAATGGTGCGTGTGTTCATCTGAGCCCATTGGTCTGTCACTGCTCATCAATGTCAGAATATTTGAGATGACCAATCAAATCAATGTAGGCGGGCTTTACAGTACATTCACAGAAGCTGAGCGCGAAATTTAGCAGCACGACTCGACTTCAGTGCACGGGACGGACAAGTGGCAAGTGCGAGATGTAGCTAAACTTATAACGTTATATATTCGACAGTTTTTTTAGGTCATAAATGTTAAACGAATGATAAACAAAAAATAATCAGGAAAACTAATTTAATTTCATCTAATTTCGCCCTTTTGAACTGAAATGTAACGTCAGCCTAATGTAATAATGTCATTGTGAGACAAGAAACGTTAACAAATCTGTTTTCATCATGTAAGGTAGGCCTACATGATTAATAATGAATGTGTACATATTGAAAATATAATACAAATTGTAGCCTTTAGTAAATAAAAAAAAAGCTCAGCTTTAGGATGGGGGGAGAAAGGGCACGATGATGAGGAGACAAGCGAGATGAGGAGAGAGCAGGTATTGACAAATCTACTGACAGTTTTAAAGTTATTTCTTTTTGGGGGGGGGTCTTCAATTATCAGTCAAAGCTCAACTTTAGGAGGCCAAGAGACAGGGCAAGAGAAAAACAAAGAGAAAAAGAGTGTGATGCTGATGAAGAGAGAAAAATAATCATCTGCCCACTGACATGGTTTTATCAAAAAACAAAACAAAAAAATGCCTTCAAAACATCTTCAAATGGACATAATAGTTCAGAGAATTCAAAATTTTCTCGGGGAAACCCCGAACCCCCCTAACTACCACCACAACTCAAATCCAGGACTACAGTGATTATAAAACCCTGTAATTGGATGGTAATGAAAGTGAGCATTAGACCCTAAATTAAACTTTTACCTTGTTTTTTTTTTTTTTTTTTTTTTTAATCATACCCTCATTGGGGGCTAAGCCCCCCAAAAGGAAAATCCTAGAATCGCCCCTGGCACGTAGGCCTATATGGTGCATCAGGCAAATAATCAAAGATTTTTAGATTGGATTAGGCAACATTTCTGAGAATTTTAAGTTCCTAAAATTATTGTCACTTGATGTTGCAAAGATGTATATATCCTTTAAAATGACATGGTCATCATAATTTGTGAATAATTGCAAAATTTACTTTTAGCCTACCAATCATGCTTACTTAACAGATAACAGTTTTACAACACTATTCTGACAGTTATGGCCATTGACAATGAGTCATTTTTATTAAAAAAAAATAAATCCTTAAGATGTTGGGTTTACTCAAATTTATATAGGCCTAAATAAAATATTCCTGAATGTGTAATTCTATCCAATATACATAACATTAAATCAATTAAACAAATAGGGTAGGTAATTTGTACAAATTCATTCGAATTGGGCAACTCGTAAAATATGTTCGATTTAGCAAAAATCATATAATTCGTATGAGTAAGATCGTATGAATTCGTAAAGCCTGTTTTATGCTTCTGCGTCGAATCGATCATTATACATCAATTCAGGAGTGTAGCTTTTCCGATTTCCCCCTCCCGCTATTAGCGCTATTTTTAACATTTGCACCCTCGTTCTGATAATTATAATACTCTTATAAAGAAAGTAAATAAAGAATTAATCTAAAAATAAACTGTTTTTTTTATTTCATTGTTAATATATATGTCTATATTCTTTTCTTTCTTTTTTGCTCGCAATAAACTTCAATCAATCAATAAATCAACGTTTGTTTTGAAACACAGTTTGTTGTTTATTTTCAATACAATGTTCACGGTTACATCATTGATAATACAGTACTAACCAAGTCTGCCACTGGACACATTATCCTGCCATAGCACAGTTCCACGTGGAGACTGAAAAAATCCTTTAAGTCATTCCGAACAGGTATCGTTATGGCAGCTCGGGTGGAACCTTTATTTTATTGTCTATGGGTGGAACGGGCCCGGGACCTCCATGTTGATTCTGTGGGGATAAAGTTTGTGTCGTCTTGTTATTCAACGTCGATTAGCTCCAGCTGGCAGCTGCTAAAACAACATTCTCTCTCTTTCGCTCGCGGCACACGGAACCAAAGAGATTTGCGAACCCCTCTAGCGTTCTGGCGGCGAAATGCACCGCGATGCACCACAACCTCACGCAGAAGTATAAAACGGCCACGACACCGTAGCAGTGGCGACGTAGCTACGCCGTGGAGTTGACGCAGAAGCATAATGAGGCCTTAAGAGCCACCTTGTAAAATTCGAACGAATTGCCGTGAGTTACCACTTGCTGCCAGTGTTCAAAACGTTCTGCTTGCCTTATAACGTTAGCTCGAATCAAAGCGGTAAGCTTTTAATAATCTTTTTAATTCCAGTGGTACTACTGGTGGATTTCCGCAGGAGATTCGAGCATGTCTTTGCCTCATTACGTCACATCTGTACACATAAACGAGGAGTCTAGGCTAGCTATGTTGTGTGCGCTGGAGGTGGAGACTTACAGCCGTTTCTCACTGTACTTCATATAATTAAACTTATCAATTTGATGACGGATCCAGAAATGTTCAAACGACAATCACCAGTGACAACTGGAGATTCACCCGCTGTAAAATGCAAAAGACTTCGTTCGGACTTCAGAGTGGCTGCTACAGAAAAAAAGAGACTGTAACCTTTACAAGCAGCCACCATTACCCTTCAAATTGTGCAAACTGAAATTGCGAAATGAAAATACGCTTAATGAAAAAACGTCAATTTCGCAAAAACTCCCGTTTATCGCAAAAAATGTTTTTACTCTCACATGAGGAGGTTTTTCAGGCAATTAGAAAAAGGAATATTTCGCAAAACTGCAATGGAAACGGGTTTTGCTCATTTACAGTCACCTGACTTAGAAGAGCGGTGTGTTTTGGAGCGCGAACTTGATATCTCACAATAACAAGAAAATGTTGTGCTTTTGTAAAATAAAATAACAACAACAATCAGGCGCACTTTCATGATCTGAAGCACGAGAACTGAAACCAAAGGTTATAGCTTGAAATGCACTTTAAAAGAACAAATTCGAATCGAAAGCTAATACCTTCTTATGTAATCTGTATGAAATGTGCATTTCTCTCTAAAGGTGCATACGGAGTTGGAGATATGTTTATAGCCGACACTGATTTAGGAAAACAATAGTTTATTAGTAATCAATTAAAATGCCTCGTTATTTTTTCAGACACATTTATTACAGCCTATAACTAAATATTTACATTTTCTCAAAAATTAAATGCAGCCAAATACAACAAGACAAGTAGAAACGGTCTAGTTAAAAGGCTGAATATATAGGTGAATTAATGAATTCCTAGTGAATTAATATAGACAGTCTCAAACAATAAAGAAAACAAAATTTGTTTGCCCCCAATAATAAGAGAATGGGTGAAGGGGAAAATTCCATCTGCTCAATTCCCTGCGCATATACATTGCAGACCATAATCTACACGCTGCCTCGGCACACGCCATAACATAGAGGCCTACATAGTACTGTAAACCATTCACGCACATCCAGACGTTCCTCTCTGTCTGGCCACATATAATAATTTGTTACATTTATATAGCGCTTTTCTGGACACTCAAAGCGCTTCACATAGAAGGGGGGGATCTCCTCAACCACCACTAATGTGCAGCATCCACCTGGATGATGCGACGGCAGCCATATTGCGCCAGAACGCTCACCACACACCAGCTTACTGGTGGAGAGGAGACAGTGATGAAGCCAATTGGTGTATATGGGGATGATTAGGAGGCCATGATGGACAGAGGCTACTGGGCAAATTTGGCCAGGATGCCGGGGTTACACCCCTACTCTTTCGAAAGACATCCTGGGATTTTTTATGACCACAGAGAGTCAAGACCTCGGTTTAACGTCTCATCCGAAGGACGGTGCTCTTTTTGACAGCATAGTGTCCCCATCACTTTACTGGGGCGTTAGGACCCACACAGACCACAGGGTGAGCACCCCCTGCTGGCCTCACTAACACCTCTACCAGCAGCAACCTGGCTTTCTCAGAAGGTCTCCCATCCAGGTACTAACCAGGCTCAGCCCTGCTTAGCTTTAATGGGCAACCAGTCTTGGGCTACAGGGTCATATAGGTAGCCTATATAGTTCATATATAGGTTCTATATAGGTTCACCTGAGAGAAATTCAATTTAGGAGACATTTTCAGAGAAAAAAAGATATTTATTTTATTTGCTTGACATATTTAGTTAGTCAAGCAATGAAATGAAGACTATTAGTTTTATATGGAATAAATTCAGCATTCACTGCAGGCCTTTAGTTAATTTTGACTGACGTGACATTGCAATTATAAAACAGCAGAGAGTTGAAAGCAATTGATGCATATCCCAAAGCATTGGCAATTTGTTGGAAGGAATGAGAAACTGCTACTATGATGTGCAAAAATGACTGAATGTTGTGGAGGTTGAACTAACTGTTGTGCAAATGTTAATGTGAGGAATGCACAGAAAAACAGTTTGGCCTATGTGAGATATTATAAAATGTCTAACTCAGCTGGGTTATCTGAGCAACTTTTAATAGAACGATAGAATGAAAGGAAAACGAAAAACTGCAACTGCAGTTATTAAGCCATTTGACCTTACGCAATTCGCAGGGTTTTTTTTTTATCTATTTATTTCTCAGTCACGTGACAGTTGTCCAGCGCCCTCATTGGCTTAATCAAAGTTTCACTTCATATCTACAACAAATAAAAGAGTCAATTGTAAATAGCACAAGTCATCCTATCTGAATTTACATAGCCTTACAACAACAACAACAACAAAGACATGGATTTCAATTTCCTGGTAAGATTTATTTATTTATTTTTTACTCTATTTGATAAGACAAAGGTTTCTTTTACAACTCATTGTAAAACTCACATGTATCTGATAGCCTCGTGATTCGGTTTGTTGTGTTGATAAAAGAGAAGAAGTTAATTTAGGCTTAGTTAGGTGCGAGTAGCCTTTAAAATCTGCGCGCTGCATGTCTCTCAAATAAATTGTTGCTTAGTTTTGGGCTTTATCAAGCATGACATCACTGAGCAACAGGTTAAATCAATCTGATGTGTTTCAGACGAAGACGTCTCTCTGCCGAAGCGCCGTGGGAAAGGGTTGCAGGAGAGTCTCTTGCGACAGTTCGGGCTCTCCTGATCTGAGTACCGATGTCGAGACGAGGGTCCTGGTCATAAACACCGGAGGAACCATAGGAATGATCTTGCATGACGGAGGTAAGTTTCACAATTGACTGTAGGGTTCATACTCACAACTAATTAGCACCGTTTATTATATAATTATTAAGATGTAGATATTGCACACATACAATTGCAACAAAAAAAAGCTATAGATTTTATCTAAAAAATCATTGTCTTTTTTTCTTTTGTAATTGCTATTATTGATTTTTACTATTGTAAATTATTTTAATTAGGCCTATATAAAATGCATGCCATACTCTGATGAACATCTTAAACAAATTGAGTGTATTTCTGAATTAGCTATACTTTATTGTTTTTAGGCTAATCAGAAATTAAATTAATTATTTAATTATATATAAAAAGTTACACTTTCACATGAAGTTACACTTTCACATTGACTTACCAGCATAACAACTATTCATTAAAATATAAAAATGAAAACACATGCCTAAAAAGAAAGCAACATCCTAACATTATAGCCTTATTTCATGAGGCTGTCTCGCATAGAGAACTATTTATCTTTTCATGCGACTGTTTGAGTGGCCATATTCCAAATCACCCTAAGATGCGTTTAATAGCCACTTTTTTGTAAAAACGTAATTTCATAATTTAATTTGTTAATTTGAATAGTGTTTGATTAAAGAAATGGTGGTTCGGTGTTACAAATATAAAAAAAATACTGAGAACAGTTCACTAATAAAAGCATAAGGCCATCATTTTCCTCTTTTTTTAAAGGAATCTAAGGAGCTTTGAGACTTCAATTTAAGAACCGATCAAAACTGATCAAATTAAGGATTCACGACAACATAATTTTAAAAGAATTTCTTTAATTTCGCTGTTTTATTTGGAGACACCATTTGGTGACTGATATTTTCTGTAGCCTATACATGTTTAATGTTCTTGGTTTGGCGTTTAAACGAGTTTCTGTTATGTTCAAGTTTTTAATCGTTATTGTGAAGAAGGGCTTATGCTTATAGGTTGTGTATAACTGCATATTGGGCCTAATACTGAATGTTTGTGTTGTTCAATGTGCATTATTTAATGTCAGTGCAGTAGCAAGTTTTTTCTTGTGCTGTGCTGCAGAGGCTAGCCTACTTTTAATTATAAAAGCTTATAATGAACCGTTGTGGTCTCTGTTTCTGTATTTGGTTGTGTTGTGAGCTTTTGCAGCGCGTTTTGTATATTTGGTTGTGTTGTGAGTACTTGGAGCACACGTGTGTTGTGGAACTGATGAAGGTGTTTTTCTAAATTTGCGGATGTTTTTTTGTATTTGCACACGTTTTTATATTTGCACACGTTTTTTTATATTTGCATGCGTCTTCTTTAGGTTGCAACACGTTGAACTCTCTCGGCCACCGCACGGAAGTCAAAAGACAACGAGCGCAGCGCTGAAAAGGGGCGGGGCTGAATGACATTATATAGATCAGTGTTTTGCTGGGTCGTAACTTCACATAGACATACACACTAGACCTCACCTTGGGGTTCTAAGCATGCGTCAAAACCGCCGCCATCTTGGAACAGGAGTCTTGTCATAGGAAGTAGCTAGGTAACGCTGCTATCTCTGCCTTTACTTCGAATTCATTGATGGTGGCGGACTTTTGTGCCGTGTATGATATTCATGGATAAAATCTGAACTAGGAAGAATGTTTTAAAAAAAAATTCTCTCTGGAATCAATGATAAATACATGTCTGACCGTTGGAACAAACCAAAAAAACAAGAAAAATCGCATTCATGATGATTTATGGTGATTTTATTTCCGTTAGACCTGTGTCTATTACATTGCCGCTGATGCATTAAAGTGGAGGGGCTCCCCTGTTTCAAGATGGCGGCTCTATTGACGCATTCGTTCCAATGAACTGCCGTAGCCAAGCTGAGGTCTAGTGTATATGTCTATGGTAGCTTCAGACATTTAGCGAATCAAAGGTGTTCCCATAGTGACGGCTATACAGCGTCAGGGAACCAAGCGACCGGTCTTAAAGCCTTCCGTGAACGGTTCGCAAAATCAAACAATGATTTGTATCAAAGGAATGAATCATTCTTTTAGAGCGTTTGTCTGAAAATACAGGACAAACGTTCCGCTTTCATATGGGACGCATCATTGATAGGCTACTCATGAAGCCATGTTGGGCCTTTAAAATTAAGAAACCCAAAGAAAAGTCATTTTTATACCCTCTGTAATCTGACTCCAAATCCCAGGTGAAAATGATAATTTGACCCCCCTTTACAAAACAGTATACACCCATCACATTTAATATTTTGGCTTTCTTCTTCATTTATATTTGTGTCTTCAGATTTTATTTTATTTATTTATTTATTTATTTACAAAATCAAAAATTTGAGTTTGGAAAGTTTATGAAATTTGGTTGATTTTTGACATGAATTGACCCAAATGTGTATTTCTGAGAACCTTTCATATATCTTTTTTACTCTTACGGTAACTGCAGACACACTCGAATGACATGCACTACAGAACAAATATTTTGAGTGTCCCTTATTATTCTGTCCCTTATTTACCTTCAAAGAACCACGATTGTTCCTTATTTTCCTGTCCAGACGTCGGCAACCCTAATAATGGCAGTTGGGTGATTTTTGCTCTCCACTTCCTGTGAAGTGATTGGTCGATGTTCCCTTATGCCCTATGCCGTTTGCAGTGCCCTTCGAACTGAACATGTTCGTTCCCTTGGAATCTCAAAAGATGCCGAAATATCCTGTGAAGTTCACTTCGCAGTCCACTTACGGTCGAATGGAACGTACCTATTCTTTAAGAGTGGGAAAGCCAGGCCTAAATAATGTAACAGTGAAGATAAACAGAATTGTAAAAGCCAATATTTTGGGACTGTGTAGTTGAAAGTTTGCTTCTATCAGGCTTGTGCTTTATTTTACCATGTCAGCCAGAGCTACTGCAAGTGTAGCCTATAAAACCATTCTGCCCATGCACAATAACACAGCTTCAGGAAGCTCACTTCACTCTTTATCTTTAATAAAATCTTATCTTGGTCCAAAGAACTCAGATACACCACAAAGGAGTGTACTTTCATTATGTCAGTGTATAAGTTACTGTTTAGAGCTGTGCTGTGATACATATTAGGTTAGATTCTTTATGATTTTATTCTTAATCCAGAGTGCAATCAATAAAATAAAGTTCGCATCTAATTCTAAGTTGAAATAGCCAACATTCTAAAAAAAAAAATCAATTAAAAAAAAATCATATATACACATTTACACGTTTTCAAAAGTCTCATGGCTCCCAGAATATTCTGTTGTAAGAACATGCAAACAGTCAGTATATCAAAATAATGAATAAGTATAAGTTCACACTTACAAATTGTACATTTGTAAATTAATTGTAAACACATAAAGCATTAGATGTTCGAATGGCAAGCATGGTGTCCAAGGGGAGAGTGCCGAGCACAGAATTTGGTCTGAACCCAGAGAAGGCCTACAGCAGGGAATAGAACCAGCTATGAGTGAGGAGATGGGGTGGTGAAGGGATTCGGAAAACTGCGAGGTGCGCGTGCGCGGCTGTAACTATGCATTCAAAGCCCTTGTTGGTTGTTTTGAATGACTCGAAATAATGATTTGTTTATATAATAACATCAATTATGATAAAAATTGCCAATGTTTTTTTTTGCTTGTTTTTTATGGATATCGGCATTTTCGATATGAGTTTAAATGCAAAAGCCGCTAAACGCCACCTTCGTCAAAAATGAGATAATAATATTGAGCAAATGCTCTCCGCACACAGTCTCCCGCTCAGAAACAGCTGTAGTGAAGGCGGGCATTCCGGCTCTTTTTCGTGAGCCGGCTCGTTTGATCAGCTCTCTGAAAAGAGGCTTTTTTGGTTCAAAAAATGTTTTGACTATGACAGGTGTGAAAACAATTCTAAAATTATTACATGAAATCATACTCACAATTTCTTTTAAAAAAATGCATTGATTTGTTATGAAAAAAGAAGAATTTTGCATAAACTGGTCCAATATAGAAGACTGTGGGTCGTGGATTAGGCCTACTTGACTGAGTAGATAGGCCACTTCACGTGAGGTGGTGAATTTACAAAAATACAAAATTCACCACCTCAAATTTAAAGTATTTACAAATAAATTCTTTAAAAATCCTACAATGTGATTTCTTGGATATTTTTTTTCTCATTTTGTCTCTCATAGTTGAAGTGTAGTAGCCTACATGATGGAAATTACAGACCTCTCTCATTATTCGAAGTGGGAGAATTTGCACAATCAGTGTCTGACTAAATAGGCCTACTTTTTGGCCCCATATGTGTGTGTGTGTGTGTGTATGTGTGTGTGTGTAGCCTAACAGTGCATCAATACCATACAACAGGGGTTCTCAACTCCAGTCCTCACAACCCACTGCTCTGCATATTGTGTATGTCTAATGTCTCCCTTACTTAACACACCTGATTCAGATCCTCAGCTCGTTAAGATAGACTCTACGGCTATCCTAACGAGCTGAGGATCTGAATCAGGTGTGTTAAATAAGGGAGACATACACAATATGCAGAGCAGTGGGTCGCGAGGACTGGAGTTGAGAACCCCTGCCATACAACAGTAAACAGGGATTTCTGGAAAAACTAGAAAATAGCGAGGAAGCATTGTGTCATTCATGACAGGAAAATCTTGTCAACGGTTAGAAAAGAGTCTTGGCCATAGATCACATAGATCTCGTTTGTTACAGTTTCTTCGACGCGTTCACAAAATGCTGAATCAAACATATAAAACATGATGCAGCAACTGTGCCAGGGGTTTTCAATAAGCCTTGTGAATTTGTTGTCAGATGCAACTTTCTTATATGCTTTTCTTTTCTTTTTGCAGTTCTTTCTCCAGAACCAAATGCTCTTGTTAAAACTCTACGCACACTCCCTATTCTACATGATGAGCCTTATGCACAACGGACAAAGCTGTATGAATATTACAAGTCTGCGGATAAAACACTGGTGTTGCCGTAAGTTCCCATGCAAACATGTAATCAAGTTTAAGGAGGTGGCTAACCAGGATCCAGAGTGTTATGGTAAATTATTTGGTGATACCATTTAGAAACCAAATTAATTTATCATGCACAAGTAGGCCAACAAAATAAATAAATAAATGAATTAAAAAAAAAAAATAAGTTACCAACCACGACATGAAAGATATCCAAGGGTAGCTTCTAGCACTCACAATTTACTGAAAATTGTGTAAATGCTTACAGAACTGCTGATGTGGAGTGTAAAAGGCTAAAAACAACACTATTTTGTATTAGTATTAGCCACAACACAATACATGATGTCAAGAACAAAAGATATTGTAAGACCTTTAAAGTTGATAAGTTTTATGTAATCTGTCATCTTTACTAAACACGTATGTGGTGGATTGCCTTTTATTATAGCATTGTTTTTTTCTTACTTTCTTTGATCCTATCAGAAAAGTCTTGTGATACATTTTTGGGTGCTTTCCCAGCAGTTGAGAACCACTAAATGCTTTCTCCTTGGTTAATATGCAGAGATGATTCTATAGAACATGACAAGTTTATCTCTCGCAATTCTGACTTTTTTTGTGTGAAAAAAAAGTGTACTTCAAGTTCATTTGATTACTTAAGTATGTTTTAAATATAGGCTACTTTATGTAGTAAGTATACTAATATGTAGGCTACTAGTATACTTATTTCAATACTGCGTGGGACTGAATTTTCTCACTTTTTAGTATATAAAATGATAATTTTAAGTATGTTTAAGTGTAACAGTAGTAGATCTGCCCCAAACTCCACCTGTTTGATAAGAGTCCTGGCCTGAAGACATCTACATGCCAGTTACCGTCATAGCGCCAGCTGCTGGTAAAAGGAAATTCCATGCTTTACACTGCAATGCTCTCCCAGAAAAACATTTTAGGATGCAATCAAGTGCCTGCTAGACACACATAAAATCATACAACACTTTGCAAAGTGCTAAAGCTTGCTATTAAAGGAGTAGTTCACTTTAAAAAAAACTTTTGCTGATAATTTACTCACCCCCATGTCATCCAAGATGTCCACGTCTTTATTTCTTCAGTCGAAAAGAAATTAAGGTTTTAGATGAAAACGTTCCAGGATTTTCTCCATATAATGGACTTCATTGGGAACCAAACGGTCCAAATGAGAGTTTCAGTGCAGCTTCATAGGGCTTTAAACGACACCAGACGATGAATAAGGGTCTTATCTAGGACCCTTCGAGTCATGACTCGAAAAAAGATTTGTTCATTTTGACAAGCATAACAGAGCAAGGAGAGCATTTGTGCTTATAAAACTTAAACTTTTTTATTTATTTTTGAATTGATTTTGAATCGTTTCGCTTGAAAAGACCCTTATTCATCGTCTGGAATCGTTTAAAGCCCTTTGATGCTGCACTGAAACTCTCATTTGGACCTTGAACCGCTTGGTTCCCATTAAAGTTCATTATATTGAGAAAATCCTGGAATGTTTTCATCAAAAACCTTAATTTCTTTTCGACAGAAGAAAGAAAGACATGGACATCTTGGATGGGGGTGAGTAAATTATCAGCAAAAGTTTGTTTTTTTAAAGTGAACTACTCCTTTAATGCCAAGAAACAGGAAGTTTTTGTAACTCATGCTCATTACAATATCTGATCTGTCTGGCCAGTCAAAGTGCCACCTGCTGACAACAGGAAGTGTGGCACATCAAAAATGACTTTTTTGTACCCCTTAAAAGCACTGTTCACTGTTTTCCTATGGCCACTGGGTGGTGGTGGCCCTGGGTGTGAGCGGCCTTTTATCACTGCTTGCAGCTTTCCTTTTTCTTTTTGTTTAACACTACTAAATGAAATATCGATTGGTTTTTGAAGCTTGTTGTCATTATGGTACATGCCCAATGTATGATGACTTAAATCGAGCCTCATTTTGTCTTCGTCTGGCTCACCTCAGACGATCCAAACTGGACAAGAGGATTGTGTATACGTTTTTAGAGTACTCTCCCCTGCTTGACTCCAGCAACATGACTCCAAAAGACTGGATGACTATTGGAAAAGACATTGAGGTGCCTTTTTAACCATCTTTAGATTTTTTTCTTCCACTTTAAACAGTCAGTGCTGAGAATTTTTTGTTTCGTTCACAGAAGTACTATGAGGAATATGATGGCTTTGTTGTTCTGCATGGCACTGACACCATGGCTTACACCGCCTCTGCCTTATCATTCATGTGTGAGAATCTGGGAAAGCCTGTCGTCCTCACTGGCTCACAGGTAACACGTTTTAAAAATATTTAAAAAATAGACTATTCCTTTAACTAACCATTTAATGTGTGGCAGGTGCCCATCTTTGAGATGAGGAGTGATGGGAGGGATAACCTCTTGGGGGCGCTGTTGATTGCAGGACAGTTTGTCATTCCCGAGGTGAGAGATATTTCTTGTAATTTAAGAGATACTTTTATATTCATTGCAAAATAAGTATGAGCAAGCAGTATGATACAGATATTAAAAATGGTTGTATAGTGTTCTCATAGTGTTGAATATAAAATAAATGTTATGAGTCTGCATGTAGTTCTCCACATGTGTTCCTCTGTCTGTGTGCTCTGGTTTCCCACTAATCTAAAAACATTCTGCATGGGGAATTGGAGAAGCTAAAATTGTCTGTAGGTGTGAATGAGAATGTGAATGTCTGCATGCGAACTAGGGCTGACCACTAAACTAATAAATAACAAGTGACAAAAAAAAAATTCAATAATGAAAATCATTGACAACGGATCTAATTTTTGAGTAGTCACGTCTGCCTGTCAAATAAGTCAGTATGTTTTGATGATCCCTGGTAAGATGTTTCAGTGAAGGCTGACACACACTAAAGTACAATAAAGGAACATATACAATTATTGAAAACTGTTTGAAATTAGCAAGGGACAAGAAAATAACCCTTTCTCTTTATTTCTTCACAGGTTTGCCTCTATTTTCACCACAAGCTGTACAGAGGCAATCGTGTCACCAAGGTGGACTCTGGAAGCTTTAAAGCATTTGCCTCACCAAATCTTCCACCATTAGCCAATTTTGAAGTCGACATCAGCAGTAATTCCAGTTCTTCCAACATTTATGCCTGCAAAAGTCTGAAATATTAAGCTAAAATACATACATATATATATATATAGTAAATGTATCTCACAATCTGTAGTAGATTTCAAGTAGCTTAACAGACTGTGTCACAAGACTCTGCTTGCAGTTTCATGTAGCCTAAACTTCTTCATTACTGATGGAATTACACTAATGCCTGTATTATGATGTAAAAATGATTATTTGTTATTGTTTAGTTAACTGGGACACTGTGTGGCGACCAAGCATAACTGCAAAATTCACCGTCAACACTCAAATGAACCAAAATGTGGGTCTCCTGCGACTCTTCCCAGGGATTACTACTGAGACAGTAAGGCTGTGTGGTAATATGCCACAGATTTTGATCAAACATCTTTAATGTTGAGTGACAAAACATTTGTTGTATATTTAATATTTATGTCTCTTCATGTTCATTTAGTCATAATGCCATCGTTTGTGTTTTTCTCATTATCATTATGGTAAAGCTAAAGCTAGTCTAGCTATATATATATATATATATATATATATATATAGTGTAGTGAATGTATATGAATTATTATCCATATGTATTTTTGCATACAAAATAAGTAATCATATGCTGGTTAACTTTAGTTTTAAATAATAATGATACAAGATTATGGCCATAGTAGTAAATAATGTTAGATTTGAAAAAGGTAAACCATTGGGGTACGCAAATCCCTATTTTATTGTTCAGTTTTCTGTTTCAATCTTACATTATATTATGGAAAGAAAAAGGCTTGTGAATGTTAAATAATAAATTAATGTCGACATGAAAGTTTTCAGATGTTCAATGAGGTCTATTTTCACATCAGGTCAAGGCCTTTTTGACGGCCCCCATGGACGGTGTCATTTTGGAGACCTACGGCAGTGGGAACGCCCCTGACAACCGCCAAGACTTGCTGGATGAGATCCGTAAAGCGACTGAGAGAGGACTCATCATTGTCAACTGCACTCAGTGCCTCAAGGGCACAGTCACAATATCATACGCCACTGGCCAGGTATGGGAGTTTGCTTGAGAAAGGCTTCATTTGGGTTTACTCCAGGAGTGTGTACTTCTTCATTATTCCCTCTCAGGCTTTGAGTAAGGCAGGTGTGGTTGCTGGGTTTGATATGACTCCAGAGGCTGCTCTTTCAAAGCTCTCCTATGTGCTGGCAAAACAAGACATCAGTAAAGAAGAGAAGAGGAAGGTAAAACAAAATGACTGACTCCCAGGACAGTTTGCACAGTACAGTGTTAGTAATGTTACTGTATGGATTTAAAACATGCTATTTGTTCATAAGATGCTGAGTCGCAACCTGCGTGGTGAGATGGTAGCTGACCTGGAGGGTGCAAAGCTCTCTCTTAGCGACAGTCGCTTTATTCAGGTCATCGCCAGGTCCCTCAGCATTGGCTGTAAAGAGGTGAGTAGGCCAGACCTTTTGCTTCTAATCTTGTTATTCTGGTTGAGTTTGTATAACCCCATAATGAAGAGGCATATTCAGGACCAGAAAAAGTTGTGATTAACTGTTGTAATCCACTATAATATTATTGATGTCCTTAGGAGCTTGAAGCCATCCGAAATGCGCTAACGCCCGCTCTGGCCTGTGCTGCTGCTAAGAATGGAGATACTGAGGCTTTAGAGGCCATAAGAGAAATGGTAAGCATTTGGGTATTTGCTGTAACAGAAAGTGTCTTGCAATGACTTACATTTGTAACCCTTTGTGCATTTCACGACCCAACAAATGCTCATTTGGTATATCCAGTCGGTGTACCAACAGACAAAGACCGCAACACACTGATCTGAAAAAAAAAAACAAGTGTCTGTTGCTGTTGGTCAGCATGTTGATGCATTGTGAATTGCCTTTAAAGACACTTCAACACAAGCTGAATCTTCAAATGAATACCGGCAGAATATCCCTTCAACAAGAAATCCAAATAGCTGTTTTAAGGCCTTATCGACTCAACATCTTATAACCTGGCAGTACATAAATCAAGTACTGGAGTAAAAGTAGGATACCCTATTAAAACACCACTCCAGTAAAAGTATTACGTTTTCCTTTTCAAATTTATTAGAGAAAAAAGTTTAAAGTAAAAACTACTAACTGAACGAATGTTTATTTATTTAGCAATTGTATATGCGCCATATTTTATTATCAAAAGTTGTCATACACTGATAACTATTACTGATTATTCAGTTGTGTAAACAAATGAAAATAACCAAATACGTAGGCCATAAAGTATATAAAAAATTAGAAAAACAAACTAAATGTGTTTTGACAAATATAAACTGTCAGTCCTGGTCTATGATTTTCTTTTATTACAATAATAAATCTTAAAATTAGCATTAATAACTCTTTGCATTATAAGTGACATGCAAGTTCAGAGGATCTCCATTCTTGGCTCATTTTGAGTCAGACTGCAGTGAATGCAGTGAATTGTTAACCGGAGACTCTGATAGGATCATTTGAATCCGTGAACAGATGATATCAGATTCTCAAATGAATCGTTTAGTGTGATTTGCCAACTGATTTAATAGGTTTACTGAAAACAATCAACTCGTTAACGAATTGGACACTGCTATAGTGTCACTGAGCTGGTGACGATTTCTTCTGTTCAAAATAGTGAGGAATGGCATGTTTTATTAGGAAAAGGAAATGTTTCCCAGAGATAATTTTAAAATTGTACAGTAATAAAGTAACAATACTTGATCGTACCAAATAGCAGGGGAAAAAAGAGACGCTTTCTTTTTTTGCTATTGTTGTTTATAGGGCACTGACTTGAGCTTGGCGAATTATGATGGCCGAACTCCCCTTCACATCGCCGCATGTGAGGGACAGGTGAAAGTGGTGCAGTATCTGCTGAGTAAAGGGGCCACAGTCTTTGTCAAAGATCGCTTTGGCGATACACCCCTGCGCAATGCCATTCACCTCAGGTAAGACAGGCCAGTAAGGTCGGATGATTTAGCTTGATATCTATTTACATTAAATGCATTAGGAAGCTTATAAATGTGTATATAACTGAATGTTTTGCTGTACCTTAAAGTTTTTTTCTCTGTTTTCACCACAACCAATGTGCGGGTGTGTGGGCATGTTGTATAACAGGTCTTTTATCATGGAACATATTTCTTCCCGCTACACAAACTGACACCACTAAGGTTTTTAAAGTCATCTAGTGGTTTCGCTCTCATGTTATTACTGTTAAGTTTGTCCACCTAATTATAGAGCCATTTGATCGCATCCACGCCATTCTTTTCTTTCATGTTTTAATCATTGATCGTAGGTGCATTAGTGTAAAATTATACATTTCCCATTTGCCTTAGAAGTGCAGCACGCTTTTCAAAAACCCTCCAACTTCCCCAGCTTCACCTGTATAGATCTGCTATTCATGTAGCAGCAGCATGACTTAGTTGCTCACAGCCAAGTGTTGTGCATGTATATTGGCAGTAGAAAGTACATAAAGACATTGACAGGCCAGTCGGATATTCTATCATTACATTCGGACCAAATGCACACCATTCTAATATGACTAGAGACAAAAGAGAGCTCAATGCTGCGAATCTCTGGTCTGTGTGACACGCACAACTAAAACAAAACTCTGGCAAAATTCCCATTTTGTTCAGCATCCTTGTGAGCACCGTCTTAAACAAGTTAAATAAAGTGTTAAATGATTGTAAAGAGTTATGAGAAAATGGAATGAATGTTAGATTCGCGTCACCCATCATAAAAGTAATCCACATGGCGCCAGGGGTTTAACAAAGGCCATTGATGTTGATCATCATTTTCATTTTTTCATAATTATCCATTTAAGATATGCCACATTTCTCTGTCTGTAGGCGTAAGGATGTTGTGGAGCTGCTGAGGAAGTGTGGAGCTCACCTCTCCCCAGATGAATTGCAGGATACTGGAACAGAGCTGTGCCGGTCTCTCTCTCTCACACGCTTACACACATTTCTTCTCACCCTTTCTGTAGTATTTATTCTGGTCTAACCAGTCATTCAGGAACTTTCATTGCATTGACACAGCAAGGATACAGTATTATTGGAATTTGGATTCTTGTTTCTTATGTCATGTGTCAGTTGATTCTGTTAACTAAATTCAATTTATTTGAACATGGTTCATCCGGTCAGAATTTACAGTCAGAACTGTTTTATAAAACAAGATTAAACTGCACCCATGTCACCTCTCACTAGCAATGATAAATCACCTTCAAATTTAGAACAGATCCGGAGTGTCAATTTAAAGCTGCCGTCTTGCTGACATGAGGTTGAGGTCGTCTCCTGAACAGATCGACGTATTAAACATGCCAGAACTGAAATATTATGTGTATATATAGCTAGAACAATAATCGTAGCTTCAGGGTTCATGATGTCTCATGTAGATATTCTGGTGTGTGATTTACAGTCTTGCTGCAAGTGGTGACTTGGAGGGATTGAAGATTTGGAAGTTAGCTGGGGTTGATATGGCCATGCCCGGTTATGACGGAAAGAAGCCTACTGAAGTGGTGAGTTAATGAGAATGTGCTGTGTGGACTAGTACATAACCCAACAACCAGTACCTGCAGTGACTTGTCATTTAAAAGCTGTATGAGTGGATATGAGGCACTTGTTCCTCAGTTGTACTTTGCTTTGGAAAAAGTGTTTCCAAAATGACGAATTTGTCTTCAATGTCGGGAAATGTCAAATATGTATGTATGTGTTGATAATGTCATGCTTCCTGTGTAATCATTCATGAATTGACCTCTCTCACCTTCAGGCAAGAACCTGGAAACATAATGAGGTCGCTGACTTCCTACTGGCTTAGGGCAAATCACAGGTATGAAAATATGCTTACAATAACACACGTGCATTTAGATGCACATTTCTCAGAAAACGCATAGATTTCCGGCATAATCTATATATTTGGGAGGCCTCTAGAAATCCCTGATCCTAGGGCCCTATGTAGACATTAAAGGAGTAGTTCACTTTCGAAAAAAACATTTGCTGATAATTTACTCAGCCCCATGTCATCCAAGATGTCCATGTCTTTCTTTCTTCAGTCGAGAAGAAATTAAGGTTTTTGATGAAAACATTCCAGGATTTTCACCATATAATGCACTTTACTGGGCACCAAACGGTTCAAGGTCCAAAAGACAGTTTCAGTGCAATTGTTCAAAGGGCTTTAAATGACACCAGATGATGAATAAGGGTCTTATCTAGCTGTAGCACCCCCTAGCGTGTCTAGCTATTATTGTGGAGTGCGCTCCCCGAATTCCTAATATTAATTAATGCTCTAATGTAATTCCCTAATACCTATTTGTTAGCAGTTACTTTAATGTTAGATTTTAACTGAAAGGAAAATGGCAATAGTCTCTCTATAACCAAATGAAAGTCAAAAACTACTTGTATGCAGCTATCTCAAATTCTTGGTTAAAGAGGGTTTTAAAGTTACATTAATATTCCACTCTTTATAGCTGACTTTAATAACACTTTAAAGCAATAAACATCAAGTTAAATGTCACTTATATTAGTCAGAATTTATAAACACTGTCACTTTAAACCACAGCCTTACTTTCATACCTGTCATGGCGCTGCTCTGAATAAGGTCTATTCCAGGGTACACCATACATCGATGGAGTTGCTCCTGCCGAACCCAGCAACATCATTTTATGATTATATATAAAAATATAGCTGCAAGCAGCCATTACCGGGGCCAAGTGCAAGAAGCGGCAACATATGCCAAAATGGCAAGGAGTGGCAGACCAACTGCAGCAAGGAGCAATTAAGGGCATTTTGAGAGAACTTTGGGCAAATGGCTAAAAAAATCACATAAACATTAACTTATAAGATGATTTAATGGGTTATCACTTTCGAACAATAGGTGGCGCAGTTACGAAATAGATGTGATGTGGTCAGAGGGAGGTGACAATGACACATGCAAAGTTTGGTGTCAAAATGTGAAGGCATTGCAGAGATAAAGCCTAAATAGTAATTTTGGCAGCATGCCTAAACTTTGATGCTGTGGTATACGAAAACGGTTTTGTCTATCATCGTGCAATTCATAACTTTTAGTCGGCACGGTCTGGAGATGATGCGATTAAATTTTCGTGAAAATCGGGCAAACGGTCTAGGAGGAGTTCGAAAAAGAAGGCTTTTCAAAGAAATAAAGATGGCGGACAGGAAGTTTGGCTGATTATGCAAAACCTGATATCTATGTTTTCGGCATAACCCAAGGAATCTATTAAGATCAGTTTCATTGCAATAGGCAAATTTATTCAAAAGTTATTAGCGTTCTCAGAAATTAATTATAACTTTTGACCAACAGGTGGCGCTGTCTCAAAATCTTTTGAGTACCTTCAGGGCATGCTGCTTATGGCACACACTGAGTTTTGTAATATTACACCAATGCATTTGTTTAGTATAGCATTTTATTTCACAAAACTCTATTGAAGTCAATGGGAATTTCACGTTTTGTTCTATTATAGCGCCACCAAGAGGCTCAGTCCCACAATTTTTTTTATGTGTCCTCAGAGTGACCCCATACATATGTGTGTCAATTTTGGTGCAAATATCTCAATTTACTTCCGAGTTATAAACATTTATATGAAAAAACACGTAAAAAATGACTGACACATGACTTTGTTTGAATTTTACTACCCCTTACTATCAATATTTACGCATTTGGGCATTAGCGTGTAGTTAACAAGCTATGATTCCGTGTTTCTGGCGATGGTTTCGTCTCGATCGGAACAGCGGTTTTGAAGATATCGCCAAGTGTTTTTTTCGCGCTAAATCGCTACGCTACGCCATCCGTGAGACGAAACCCGACATATTTGGTATCGTTGGACTCGGCAACGATTCAGGACCTCAAAAATATGACTCCCGTGAAAATAAGTGTACCACACCCAAAGTTATAAGCGTTTGAATAAAACAATTCACCACTAGGTGGCGCTGTTTCGAAACTTCTCAGGCTCCTTCAGGGCATCGTACTGATGACCCATAACGAGTTTCGTAACAATTCGTTCATGCATTCAAAAAATACAGCATTTTAACACATAATTCAAAATGGCCGACAGCCAAAATGGCCGATCTGGGAAAATTAAATATCGGTCGACTCGGCATGACGCCCTGAATCTAACGAGACCAAGTTTTTGATTTTTGGAGAAACCGTTCAGAAGTTACGAGCAAAAATAGCCATTTTTCATATCTCCGGACCACTAGGTGGCGCTGCGCCGAAACGCAGCACGTAGCCTCAGGTCATGCTGGTGATAACACGTACCAAGTTTGGTGTGAAAACGAGTAAGCGTTGCGGAGATACAACCTCACGTCTGTTTTTGCAAGCGCTACGTAAATTTTGTTTACGCGTTTATCGAAAACGGTTATTCAAATCATCTTGAATTCCATAACTTTTTGTCAGCACTGCCTGGAGATGATCCGGTGCGATTTTGGTGAAAATCGGACAAACCGTCTAGGACGAGTTCGCAAAAGTAGGTTTTTTGGAAAATTCAAAATGGCGGCCGTTTTTTTATGACGGAAAATGACGTCATAGGGTGCGATCGAATCGGCATGAGCTCAGGAACAAGAGGAAAAAAGAATTTTGTTGATAGGCCTTACGGTTCAAAAGTTATTAGCATAATAAAAGTGAAACTTTGGACAGTTGGTGGCGCTAGAGGGAATGAGTTAGAGACACCAAAATTGGTGTATTTAAAGTTGGGACTGTCCTCTATCAGAATGTCAAACCAAAACAACTTTCCCGCAAACCGGTCTATGGGCTGCCATAGACGCCCAGTCGGAAGAAGAATAATAATAATAAATATAGCTGCAAGCAGCCATTACCGGGGCCAAGCGCAAGAAGCGGCAACATATGCCAAAATGGCTAGGAGTGGCAGACCAACTGCAGCAAGGAGCAATTACGGGCATTTTGAGAGAACTTTGGGCAAATGGCTAAGAAAATCACATAAACATTACCTTATAAGATGATTTAATGGGTTATCACTTTCGAACAATAGGTGGCGCAGTTCCGAAATAGATGTGATGTGGTCAGAGTGAGGTGACAATGACACATGCAAAGTTTGGTGTCAAAATGTGAAGGCATTGCAGAGATAAAGCCTAAATAGTAATTTTGGCAGCATGCCTAAACTTTGATGCTGTGGTATACCAAAACGGTTTTGTCTATCATCGTGCAATTCATAACTTTTAGTTGGCACAGTCTGGAGATGATACGATTAAAATTTTCGTGAAAATTGGACAAACGGTCTAGGAGGAGTTCGAAAAAGAAGGTTTTTCAAAGAAATAAAGATGGAGGAAAGGAAGTTTGTCTGATTATGGAAAACCTGATATCTATGTTTTCGGCATAACCCAAGGAATCTATTAAGAATCAGTTTCATTGCAATAGGCACATTTATTCAAACGTTATTAGCGTTTTCAGAAATTAATTATGACTTTTGACCAACAGGTGGCGCTGTCTCAAAATCTTTTGAGTACCTTCAGGGCATGCTGCTTATGGCACACACTGAGTTTTGTAATATTACACCAATGCATTTGTTTAGTATAGCATTTTATTTCACAAAACTCTATTGAAGTCAATGGGAATTTCACGTTTTCTTCTTTTATAGCGCCACCAAGAGCCTCAGTCCCACAATTTTTTTCCTGTTTCTTCAGAGTGATCCCATACATATGTGTGTCAATTTTGGTGAAAATATCTCAATTCGCTTCCGAGTTATAAACATTTATATGAAAAAACACGTAAAAAATGACTGACACATGACTTTTTTTGAATTTTACTACCCCTTACTATCAATATTTTCGCATTTGGGCATTTCCATTTAGTTAACGAGCTATGATTCCGTGTTTCTGACGATGGTTTCGTCTCGATCGGAACAGCGGTTTTGAAGATATCGCCAAGTGTTTTTTTCGCGCTAAATCGCTACGCTACACCAACCGTAAGACGAAACCCAGCATGTTTAGTATCGTTGGACTCGGCAACGATTCAGGAACTCAAAAACATGACTCCCGTGAAAATAAGTGTACCACACCCAAAGCTATAAGTGTTTGAAAAAAAAAATTCACCACTAGGTGGCGCTGTTTCGAAACTTCTCAGGCTCCTTCAGGGCATCGTACTGATGACCCATACCGAGTTTCGTAACAATTCGTTCATGCGTTCAAAAAATACAGCATTTTAGCACATAATTCAAAATGGCCGACCGCCAAAATGGCCGTTCTGGGAAAATTGGATATCGGTGGACTCGGCATGACGCCCTGAATCTAACGAGACCAAATTTATGATTTTTGGACAAACCGTTCAGAAGTTACGAGCAAAAATAGCCATTATTCATATCTCCGGACCACTAGGTGGCGCTGCGCCGAAACGCAGCACGTAGCCTCAGGTCATGCTTGTGATGACACGTACCAAGTTTGGTCTGAAAACGAGTAAGCGTTGCGGAGATACAACCTCACGTCTGTTTTTGCAAGCGCTACGTAAATTTTGTTTACGCGTTTATCGAAAACGGTTATTCGAATCATCTTGAATTCCATAACTTTTTGTCAACACTGCCTGGAGATGATCCGGTGCGATTTTGGTGAAAATCGGACAAACCGTCTAGGACGAGTTCGCAAAAGTAGGTTTTTTGGAAAATTCAAAATGGCGGCCGTTTTTTTATGACGGAAAATGACGTCATAGGGTGCGATCGAATCGGCATGAGCTCAGGAACAAGAGGAAAAAAGAATTTTGTTGATAGGCCTTACGGTTCAAAAGTTATTAGCATAATAAAAGTGAAATTTTGGACAGTTGGTGGCGCTAGAGGGAATGCGTTAGAGACACCAAAATTGGTGTATTTAAAGTTGGGACTGTCCTCTATCAGAATGTCAATTCAAAACAACTTTCCCGCAAACCGGTCTATGGGCTGCCATAGACGCCAAGTCGGAAACGGAAGAAGAATAATAATAAATATAGCTGCAAGCAGCCATTACCGGGGCCAAGCGCAAGAAGCGGCAACATATGCCAAAATGGCTAGGAGTGGCAGACCAACTGCAGCAAGGAGCAATTACGGGCATTTTGAGAGAACTTTGGGCAAATGGCTAAGAAAATCACATAAACATTACCTTATAAGATGATTTAATGGGTTATCACTTTCGAACAATAGGTGGCGCAGTTCCGAAATAGATGTGATGTGGTCAGAGTGAGGTGACAATGACACATGCAAAGTTTGGTGTCAAAATGTGAAGGCATTGCAGAGATAAAGCCTAAATAGTAATTTTGGCAGCATGCCTAAACTTTGATGCTGTGGTATACCAAAACGGTTTTGTCTATCATCGTGCAATTCATAACTTTTAGTTGGCACAGTCTGGAGATGATACGATTAAAATTTTCGTGAAAATTGGACAAACGGTCTAGGAGGAGTTCGAAAAAGAAGGTTTTTCAAAGAAATAAAGATGGCGGACAGGAAGTTTGGCTGATTATGCAAAACCTGATATCTATGTTTTCAGCATAACCCAAGGAATCTATTAAGATCAGTTTCATTGCAATAGGCAAATTTGTTCAAAAGTTATTAGCGTTCTCAGAAATTAATTATAACTTTTGACCAACAGGTGGCGCTGTCTCAAAATCTTTTGAGTACCTTCAGGGCATGCTGCTTATGGCACACACTGAGTTTCGTAATGTTTGACCAAAGCATTTGTTTAGTATAGCATTGTATTTCACAAAACTGTATTGAAGTCAATGGGAAATTCACGTTTTGTTCTATTATAGCGCCACCAAGAGGCTCAGTCCCACAATTTTTTTTATGTGTCCTCAGAGTGACCCCATACATATGTGTGTCAATTTTGGTGAAAATATCTCAATTTGCTTCCGAGTTATAAACATTTATATGAAAAAACACGTAAAAAATGACTGACACATGACTTTGTTTGAATTTTACTACCCCTTACTATCAATATTTTCGCATTTGGGCATTTACATTTTGTTAACAAGCTATGATTCCGTGTTTCTGACGGTGGTTTCGTCTCGATCGGAACAGCGGTTTTGAAGATATCGCCAAGTGTTTTTTTCGCGCTAAATCGCTACGCTACGCCATCCGTGTGACGAAACCCGACATATTTGGTATCGTTGGACTCGGCAACGATTCAGGACCTCAAAAATATGACTCCCGTGAAAATAAGTGTACCACACCCAAAGTTATAAGCGTTTGAAAAAAAAAATTCACCACTAGGTGGCGCTGTTTCGAAACTTCTCAGGCTCCTTCAGGGCATCGTACTGATGACCCATACCGAGTTTCGTAACAATTCGTTCATGCGTTCAAAAAATACAGCATTTTAGCACATAATTCAAAATGGCCGACAGCCAAAATGGCCGATCTGGGAAAATTAAATATCGGTCGACTCGGCATGACGCCCTGAATCTAACGAGACCAAGTTTTTGATTTTTGGAGAAACCGTTCAGAAGTTATGAGCAAAAATAGCTATTTTTCATATCTCCGGACCACTAGGTGGCGCTGCGCCGAAACGCTGCATGTAGCCTCAAGTCATGCTTGTGATTACATGTACCAAGTTTGGTCTGAATAGGATGAAGCATTGCGGAGATACAGCCTTACGTCTGTTTTCGCAAGCGTTACGTAAAATTAGTTTGTGCGTTTATCAAAAACCGTTAAGCGAATCATCTTGATTTCCATAACTTTTTGTCAGCACTGCCTGGAGATGATCCGGTGCTATTTTGGTGAAAATCGGACAAACGGTCTAGGACGAGTTCGCAAAAGTAGGTTTTTTGGAAAATTCAAAATGGCGGCCAATTTTTTATGACGGAAAATGACGTCATAGGGTGCGATCGAATCGGCATGAGCTCAGGAACAAGAAGAAAAAAGAATTTTGTTGATAGGCCTTACGGTTCAAAAGTTATTAGCATAATAAAAGTGAAACTTTGGACAGATGGTGGCGCTAGAGGGAATGAGTTAGAGACACCAAAATTGGTGTATTTAATGTTGGGACTGTCCTCTATCAGAATGTCAAACCAAAACAACTTTCCCGCAAACCGGTCTACGGGCTGCCATAGACGCCCAGTCGGAAGAAGAATAATAATAAATATAGCTGCAAGCAGCCATTACCGGGGCCAAGCGCAAGAAGCGGCAACATATGCCAAAATGGCAAGGAGTGGCAGACCAACTGCAGCAAGGAGCAATTAAGGGCATTTTGAGAGAACTTTGGGCAAATGGCTAAAAAAATCACATAAACATTAACTTATAAGATGATTTAATGGGTTATCACTTTCGAACAATAGGTGGCGCAGTTACGAAATAGATGTGATGTGGTCAGAGTGAGGTGACAATGACACATGCAAAGTTTGGTGTCAAAATGTGAAGGCATTGCAGAGATAAAGCCTAAATAGTAATTTTGGCAGCATGCCTAAACTTTGATGCTGTGGTATACGAAAACGGTTTTGTCTATCATCGTGCAATTCATAACTTTTAGTCGGCACGGTCTGGAGATGATGCGATTAAATTTTCGTGAAAATCGGACAAACGGTCTAGGAGGAGTTCGAAAAAGAAGGCTTTTCAAAGAAATAAAGATGGCGGACAGGAAGCTTGGCTGATTATGCAAAACCTGATATCTATGTTTTCAGCATAACCCAAGGAATCTATTAAGATCAGTTTCATTGCAATAGGCAAATTTATTCAAAAGTTATTAGCGTTCTCAGAAATTAATTATAACTTTTGACCAACAGGTGGCGCTGTCTCAAAATCTTTTGAGTACCTTCAGGGCATGCTGCTTATGGCACACACTGAGTTTCGTAATGTTAGACCAAAGCATTTGTTTAGTATAGCATTGTATTTCACAAAACTGTATTGAAGTCAATGGGAATTTCACGTTTTGTTCTATTATAGCGCCACCAAGAGGCTCAGTCCCACAATTTTTTTTATGTGTCCTCAGAGTGACCCCATACATATGTGTGTCAATTTTGGTGCAAATATCTCAATTTACTTCCGAGTTATAAACATTTATATGAAAAAACACGTAAAAAATGACTGACACATGACTTTGTTTGAATTTTACTACCCCTTACTATCAATATTTACGCATTTGGGCATTAGCGTATAGTTAACAAGCTATGATTCCGTGTTTCTGGCGGTGGTTTCGTCTCGATCGGAACAGCGGTTTTGAAGATATCGCCAAGTGTTTTTTTCGCGCTAAATCGCTACGCTACGCCATCCGTGAGACGAAACCCGACATATTTGGTATCGTTGGACTCGGCAACGATTCAGGACCTCAAAAACATGACTCCCGTGAAAATAAGTGTACCACACCCAAAGTTATAAGCGTTTGAATAAAACAATTCACCACTAGGTGGCGCTGTTTCGAAACTTCTCAGGCTCCTTCAGGGCATCGTACTGATGACCCATAACGAGTTTCGTAACAATTCGTTCATGCGTTCAAAAAATACAGCATTTTAGCACATAATTCAAAATGGCCGACAGCCAAAATGGCCGATCTGGGAAAATTGGATATCGGTCGACTCGGCATGACGCCCTGAATCTAACGAGACCAAGTTTTTGATTTTTGGAGAAACCGTTCAGAAGTTACGAGCAAAAATAGCCATTTTTCATATCTCCGGACCACTAGGTGGCGCTGCGCCGAAACGCAGCAAGTAGCCTCAGGTCATGCTTGTGATAACACGTACCAAGTTTGGTGTGAAAACGAGTAAGCGTTGCGGAGATACAACCTCACGTCTGTTTTTGCAAGCGCTACGTAAATTTTGTTTACGCGTTTATCGAAAACGGTTATTCGAATCATCTTGAATTCCATAACTTTTTGTCAGCACTGCCTGGAGATGATCCGGTGCGATTTTGGTGAAAATCGGACAAACCGTCTAGGACGAGTTCGCAAAAGTAGGTTTTTTGGAAAATTCAAAATGGCGGCCGTTTTTTTATGACGGAAAATGACGTCATAGGGTGCGATCGAATCGGCATGAGCTCAGGAACAAGAGGAAAAAAGAATTTTGTTGATAGGCCTTACGGTTCAAAAGTTATTAGCATAATAAAAGTGAAACTTTGGACAGTTGGTGGCGCTAGAGGGAATGAGTTAGAGACACCAAAATTGGTGTATTTAAAGTTGGGACTGTCCTCTATCAGAATGTCAAACCAAAACAACTTTCCCGCAAACCGGTCTATGGGCTGCCATAGACGCCCAGTCGGAAGAAGAATAATAATAATAATAATAATAAGAACCGGCACAGATACAATAGGTGCCTCCGCACCTTCGGTGCTTGGCCCCTAATAATAGGAACCGGAACAGATACAATAGGTGCCTCCGCACCTTCGGTGCTTGGCCCCTAATAATAATAATAATAAGAACCGGCACAGATACAATAGGTGCCTCCGCACCTTCGGTGCTTGGCCCCTAATTACATCTAAACGTATGTACATTTCGTTTCAAAGACGGGAGGACAGTAAATTTTGTTAAAATTTTGTCCTCTTAAATCTCCACAACCGGAAATGGACGAGCATCCTTGGGTCAAATGCGGAACTTATGCGTGCATATAGCCCATAGTGCATAAGTACGTGATTTGGGGCGCACCTACTTTTACTTAAAACTTCAGAAACGCGCTTATATTGTTTGTTCTGTCTGTTCTCTAGAATGGCGAGTTTATCAAGCTTACTTTGCCAACAAGATCCTGAGGAGGCCGCCCTGCTAGCTGTCACTTTCTGCCATTATCAATATCATCTGCCCAGCTTCTAATTTTTCCAAAAGTAGCTTTAAAAAATGAGGTGAAAAATGCTGATTTCAAATCAATCAGAAGATTACGTTCACATTTATTCTATTAGCAGAAGCTTTTATCTAAATGATGCACATTTTTCTGTCGTTCACATCCTGCTTAAATGTGAGATGCTGTTTTTGTTGTATTTCTCAGAGAGCAGCAGTAATCAGCATCACCTATTAGTGTTGTCTACTTAGTGTGAATTAATTTTATAGCATTTAATGGCAGTGAAGCTAAAGAGTGTCTTTATGCACAGTATTTAGTGAGATATTTAATGTGTTGAATTACATTAAATATTTTCTTGATAAGTAAAGTAACACATTCATTTTAATCCAGTGAAAGGTCAGTTGTATTTCTTTATGGAGTTTTATTCTCCGGTTTCCTTATTTTTTTTTACCCTGGAAAAGTTTAAATCAGTTTTAAAAATTCTCGTAAAAATACCAATTTTATTAAAAAAAAACTAGTTGTTGCTGTTATGCTCTGTACTGGTTTGATTTTCATTGTTTCAGTTCCTGCTTTACCTGCCTTATGTGTTAGATTTCCTTGTGTTTTATTTTTCCCACCACTTTGTCTCCTTGGTTACTTATTGAATAGATTATCTGTTTGTTTTCAGTTTATTACCTTCAGTATAAAAGGCCCTCAGTTCTTTGTCTGGTGTTGTCCATGCATTTTACATTGTATTATGAATTTTAAAAACTAATCATGAACTAACATTTCTTTTTCTTTACAAGCCTAACATTTAAAATATATATATATATATATATATATATATATATATCAGAAGTCTTGTTTTAGCAAGGTTGTTGTTTCAGAAACTGAAGATATCCTGGATAACACAATCATTTTAAATCGAATAGTCCCATTATATATTGAGTATTCAACAATATATTATGAACTAACAATGAACCACCAACCTCATGGTTTTGATGATTTTGATGATTCTAACATTTAAATTTGCTTTGCAAGTAACAGATGGTGTGGGATTTGTGAATTAAATGGATAGTTCAATTTGAAATTAATTTTTCATATGTTTTAGCTTACCTCAAGGGCATCCAAGATGTAGGTGTCTTTGTTTCCGCAGTAGTTTCAATTTTGATATTTTTAGGTCAAACTTTCTTGTCTGTCAGTCATATAATGCAGGTCTATGGTCACCACCTTAAAGAGCATGCACAGAGAAGTCCAAATTATACTTGATTTTATGGCTCATAAATGTAAGCACACATTGATGGCCTAAGACACGAAACGAGCGGTTTGTGTGAGAAAACGAACAGTATTTACATCGTTTTTACCTCTTGTAATCACAGTCACATCCAAGTGATTTGAGGGCGCGGGCACTTTGTGGCTGTGGTTAAAAGAGGTAAAAACATTATAAATACTGATCATTTTCTCACACACCGCTCGTTTCGTGTCTTAGGTCATCAATGTGTACTTACATTTACGAGTCATTAAATCATGTTTAATTTGGACTTGTCTCTGCATGCTCTATAAGGTTGTGACCATAGACCTCCATTATATGACTGACAGACAAGAACGGTTTGACCCTAAAAATATCAAAATTGAAAATACTGCGGAAACAAAGACACCTACATCTTCGATGCCCTTGAGGTGTAAGCTGAAACATCAAAAATTAATTTCAAAGTGAACTATGCCTTTAATAAAATACGAGAAATGACAATGATCATGTATGTCATTTTATTTAGCTGTATTCTGTATTTCTATCCTTTATAAACTGTTGTATTCTTGATGAAGCTGAGATTCTCTGTGATTGTTACGAGAACTCCCAGCCAATAAAAGCATATTCAAAGGCAATTGCTGTAGTCTATTTGATTTTTGCTGTGCAGCAGACTAAACACTATAGATCTTACTTCTATACACAAGTGATAGTGTTGTAGTGAAGCGCTTGATCATATTCCACGTCGTCTGACTAGAACAGGTATTGAAATATGCTTAGTGGAGTATACAACTTTTGGGTGTCTGGGACATCTGGGCAAAACTTAAGTCAGGTGTGTATGGGAAAATCTACCACTTCATGTTGGAATACTGCTTTTTGTTTTGTTTTATGTTAATAAAGTTATCTACCTTATTTGAACTATATCATCTATCAAGGATCCTTAACTCTGGACCTTAAGATCGACTTTGTATATTTATGTAGTTATAGCTTATTTATATGATATTAATTAAAACACACCATGATATTTTGATTACATTTTTTATTAACACCATGACCAGATCTTTTAAATCAATAACTGAAAAGTCTTTGACTAGTCAGTGCAGGAGGCTGAAGATGCTTTACACACTCATGTTACATACACATCCATCTCATTAATGAAATCCAAAATGATTATTATCTTTGCAAGATTATAGTGCACCAAATAAACAATAAAGAAACTAACTCCCCATAAGGATAAATGCTTGATCTTACTTGCCAGTGTGAGGCATTTAACTTTAAGAAATTTACTTTTTTTTGTGTGGATCATCCCTTTAATTTCACTGGTTAAAAGCAGTTTAACTAGCCAACCAATTACTAATTTGTCAAATAACTAACTCAACGCATACAAAAAACTCAAAGGCACAGTCCCACTGAAGGAACATGAGTAAGTGCTTAGCTCAAGTGCAAAATGGAAGTAGTTCATGGCCTGTAAGAATCAAACCAAAAACTTTTCCAGCCCAGGGGTGCATTTCCAAAATTATCTTTAGTCAACTTTGTTTGCAAGTTTGATCGAGCTCTATTGGTAACGACAGAAATTGTGACCATAATTGGCTTTGGGAAATGCACCTCTGATCTTAAAATCTTATGGATCCCCTTCAAGCTTTCACAATCTTTGTATAAAACCATTTTGTTGACAATGTTGGCTAATGTTAAGTTTTAATGCAGTAACAAAAATAGTATTTATAGTGGAATCATAAAACCAACAGCTATACTGTGCTTCGGTTACCAAATCTTTTTAGATTCTGTGTCAAAATAAAGCTTAATGAAGAAATCTGAAAAGGAATATATTTTATATAAATACACTGGACTTAAAGGCAGTGGGACAGGGCCTTTCATTTTTAAAAGATACTTCTGTGAAGAACTGAGCAGCAGTATTAACAATTCAGTTCTCTTTAGAAAAAAAAAAGTCAAACTATTCATCTAAAAATGAATTTAGCTCATTTAACAGAGGAAGGTAGCATCATAAACTTTGAACCAGCTCCATGAGGCAGATGTGTATGCTGTAAGAATGCAATCTTTGGTCAAGGTCTGAATAATGATGCGATTACTCGTCTTTATCAGGCTTGTAGATGGACAGGGTTCTGGCTGAGGGGTCGGTGGCCTTGATCCAGCGGGGCATCCAGTAATGTGGCGTCCAGTCGCTGCGGCCGGGGTACTTCTTCTCAAAGACCTGCCTTATGTAGAAGCCTTCTTTGGTTTTGGGGGGGTTGAAAGGGAACAGCTTCTCAGCCTTCTCCAACTGAGAGTCGTTCACCTGAAGGAGAGACGATAGATTGAAGGATACACACCGTGTACCGTGCACATCCATGACATCATAGTCTGTGTGTACGTGTAGTACCTCAGACTCGATGTGCTCCTGCAGGCTTGCATACCAGGATTTCTTCAAGGATGTCATCCCATCACTGAAGGCTTCTTTCCTTCTCCAGAGAATCTCATCTGGGATAAGATTCATCCCTTTAAACGATTCCCTCAGGAGATGCTTCTCCACACCATTCTGCTCCCAATCAAACAAGTTATTCAGTCAGATTACAAAAAACACTAATACTGTATGATATTTAGAAAAGCAATGCCAATAAATTGAGCATCACTATCATTGTTGCTCATATTTGGGGTTTTGCATTACACTTCAGACCTGGCACCGTAGCTGATGTGGGAACAGACACATTTTACACTGACATGAAGGATAAATCACTGAATTGTGAGGCGTCAGGACTCACCTTCGGGGCTCTCATCTCTGCAGGCAGAGAGAGGTAGTATGCGGTGAATCTGTGGTCCAGGAAAGGCGCTCTCAGCTCCAGTCTAGTGGAAAAGGTTTGACGTCACAAACAGTGGAAATCACCAAGTTACTGTGAAGGGAAGAGAAGGAAGGGGTATTTGGTCTTACCCGTGTGCAGCTGTGGTTCTGTCCGCTCTCAGCACATCAAACAGATAAAGCTCTTTCAGCAGACGAACACTTTCCTCAGCGCCCGCTTCAGGGGACGGCGCCTATTCACAATCGGGACACAAATTCAGCTGAATCAAGTCTTAAGATACAGCTAACAATGCATGACAAGACACTAATGTCTCACATAGTGAAGACACTCTTAAAATGTCTGAATGTCATTGAATTGCATTATAAAACAACACAAATGTTGCTACACAGTTTTTTAGGAGCATTTTTAAGTGTAGCTTTTTTTATATACATTTGGAGTTGACAGTAAATGTAAACTGAGCATATAATGACATCATGTACCTTATGAAAGTAGATGTATCCTTGTGTCAGCTCATCCGAACCTTCTCCTGAGAAAATCACAACGCTGTCTGTCTTCTCACGGATGTACTTTGATATCAGGAACATTCCTGCAGAAATAAAAACATTTCTGCAAAGCACTGCTGCCACCTATGGGCCATTGGCTGACATTGTAGATTCATATTGCTAAGGAAAGAATGGCTGGTCTTTTGCTATTGCTCATAAGCATGGTGTGATTTGTTCAGATCCCAAAGTATTGAAGTTTATAAAAAATTAATTTTTATATGGTGTTTAAACATCAGAGTAGGGGGCATCTGCCCTATAAGCATAGTTCTGTCAGGAGTCAGGACCACTATTGTCAATGATGACTGAAAATTAGTATACAGTTTGGATTGGTTGCATGGTTCTGAACTCCTGTACTCACCAACAGAGGCACGCACAGTGGTGATGTCATAACTCTCCAAGTGAAAGATGACTTCGTCCACCGCGCGGATCCCCTCCTCAGGCGTGAAGTTCACCTCATGGTGTTCGCTGCCGATGTAGGCTGCCACCTGCCACACAACACCAGTTAAAACCAGCGTGATCTGCTACTAAATACTCAAACCACATATGGCATTTGATTCAACTCGTTTTTAAACTGGAACAAAATGATTAAAAAAATTTGTATCCTCTTTTGCCTCTAATAAAAATGAGATCATTGACGTGCAACCAGTTCATATCGGTTACTGGAAGCATCTAAAAAATGTGTTTTAGACTTTCATAGCCCTTTATACCATTGAGCTTTAATTTTGGTGGGATTACTTTTAAGTTTTTAACATTTACTATTTGAAGTTTCTATGGCAACATTCTTGATCCAGTGCAGACCACATTTAATGTTTTTATGGACATTATACTTTAATTCTGAAAACATAAACCAGTACCGTATATGCACACATTATGTCTTCAAATGAAATGTCCAAATAAGCACTTTAATACAGCGGTACATCTGATGAACAAGTGAATTATTACACAAGACAATGACCAAAAATTTGAAGAAAGGACAAAAAAAAAATATGCCTATATTCTATGTTTAAATTATGTGTAATTTCTTTCAGAGATTAATTATACATTTTAAATGTTCTTCCTCGTTTTTCATTTAGACCAATAGCTCTAGAAAGCTATAATGCTGATCTGTTATTTCTAAAACCCCATTTGATTTGTTAATGATAGTTGAAAGTTATATTATCAAGGAGTTTGTTATATTTTTTAAATACATGGTGCCCCCTACTCTTTATTTTCACTGCTCATTAATATTAATTTGTTTGTATAACGAGCCGAGCGTGTTGTATATCTGTGTATTATTGGTTGTTTCCACTCTTTCCACCCGCTACACTTTTCCACATCTTTACACCATTTCTTGAGCTTTCTTTCAAATCTGAGATGTGAACCCGCAGTAATAAGCGGGAGCTTGAGTCCACTTTAAAGGCCATTGCAAAGATTAAAAAGGTAAAAGTAAAAGGTTAATGCTTTTACTTTTGCTCTTAAAGTACACAATTTTCTTCAGAAACTAAATTGTTCCCTCTAGTATCCAGGAATGGTATAAACCTTCGATATTTCTAAGGTGTTTTATCGAGGTTAGAAATTCCACAATCATGACGGCACTAGCATCTAATGCTTTTAAGTCAACACAAATGCACAATACAAATGCACTATCCACAGAAAGTGCAACACATGTTCAGGCTTTAGAAGCATAAAGTGCATATGACATGCTGAAAGTAGTCTCACTTACCTTGCGGGCAGCAAGAAGATCTGGGCTGTCGTCTGCACCGATGGCAAATGTCTGAATGGGATACTCAAGCTTTTCTTCTTTGGCCAGTTTCACGAGTGTCGCAGCAACCAGACTGGAATCAAGACCACCTGGAAATGAAAACATCATGGATATAGTGAATGTCATAAAAAAGTCAGAGTAACAAGCAAATAACACAAAGAGCAGCACAGGCACCTGAGAGGAGGCAGCCGATTCTTCTGTGAGCCATCAAGCGTTTCTTTACAGCATTTTCAAACAGGATCCTGATGTTGCTCTTGACCGTCTCCAATTCAAAGCCTGATGACAAGGGAGAAATTCATTTCTCTATAGTTCTGATTGATGGTTCAGGAAACAGATGCATATTACAAGGAGGGAGGTACTAGTAACTCTTACATTCATCTGTTCCATAGATATTTAACTCTATTAAACAGGTTGTGTTATCGCAGACACAAACCAAGCTGTATTCACGTTACCGTAACGCTTCAACTGTTAGCACCATCGAAATATTTCAAATTGCTCCTGACAGTAGACATCACGCGCTATTAGGCAACATATGACTCATTAAATGACTGCAGCTTTTTGAGAAAGCGGGAAGAAAGGATTTCAACGGAGAGACAGTGCGTGGCAGGCTAGGGGTTCGAAAAAAAACATGGCAAATGAGGATTATACAACACAAAAGGCGATTGGGATGATTTTTGATGTTACTTGGAAAGAGGGTAAGCGAGACTTTCGCATGTGGTGTGTGCATGTGTACTTGTTAATGTGTGTATGAATGAGACCATACTACGTGAGAATGCGTGAGTTTGTATGTCCGCGTGAATTAGATTCCAGAAAGTGATCGTATTAGATTCTTTCGATCATGAATGCTTTTTTTTCTAAATAAAAATCAGATTTTTTCCCATCATTTCGATTCTGTTTACAAACTCGGCACACACATTAAAGGTCAATAACTAATTTATTGCAGTTCGTTTGTTTTCTGAAAAGATAGCACATTGTGTTCGAATTTTACTAGTAAAAGTAAAAGTTTTAGCTTCAGGTTCTAAAGGTCTTAAATAAAAAAGGCACCAATAAGTTAATGAACTTTTGTGTGAATGAAATTTAGTTTGTATGAGAGCGGTAGTGACATCTGATTTGAGAATGCGTTTTTAATTGGATTTTTTCACGTTGATCCATTGATCCAGAAGTGGACTACATTATTTGTCCAACATGTGTCACACAAAGCTATCAAATGGCTTAAGAACACTTGGAATAGAAATGCACAAGTAATCTATACGTTTACATCACTGTATGACATCTACCTGTGGCAAGGCCCTGAAGGTTGTTATATGAGGCGTGTTTAGGTTCATCTGTGCAGCAGTGGAAGCGATCCATCTGAACAGACTTCACTTTTCCAGTGGGCTTCAAGTCAAACTCCTCAAAGTGTCCTGGGGGGAAGGGGGTGATCTTTGCAGGGGTGGACATGGGGGTGGTGATCTCTGTCAAACCTGTTAGGATTAAATCACAGTGAAATTGTGATGTCGTTCAAATTAAATTCTGGAATAAAGTTGTGCTCAAGGTATTGCATCAGGAGATAAGGCTGCACGATTTTAAATGAAAATATGATTAAAAATAATAATAATTATCAAAATCTGTCAGCAAGTGAAAATCGGGGCTAAAATCATACAGTGTGAACTCAGCATTAATGGGATTTCATTTTGTTTCAATTATTCGTGCAGCCCTACCAGAGAAGGTGCTTTACATTATTCATTATACCTTTGGCCTCAGAGCTGACTGCTAGAAAGCCATCGTCAGTGAGCAGTTTAAACAGTGGTCTCACACCGTACGTGTCCCTCCCCAAGAAAACCTTTCTGTTAGCAGTGTCCAACAGGATGAATGCAAACACGCCATCTAGCAGAGCTGGCATCTTCTCGATTCCAAAGCGATCGTACAGGTGCAGAAGGATCTCACCATCCACTTTGGTCTGATATTCAAACTCAAAGTGCTCCTTTAGCTATAAAGAAAAAGACAGATTATTAGATGCATGTTAAAAACCATGAAGGAAGTGGAGAGACAATGTGAGGTGGAGACTCGTGTACTGGCACAATAAATGTATTGTGGCAGATGCCACGGTTGCACACTAGGGTTGTACTGGTATGCTATATGAACGGTACATATGGCGGTGTGGCATTACGGTAGGGGGGGTGGCGCTGACTACGTAAATGTAAATAGGGCACACAGGTTCGTCACCATGGAGGGCAAGGAGACGTGGATATCAATACAAAAGTTAATTTATTAAGTACACATCAATAGGCAAAACTTTCTGGTCAGTGCAAGGCAGAGTGTCACACCCACATGACTCGTACCACACTGTTCATTCACACACACAAACAAGAGAGAGAAAAAAAGTAAATACATAAATAGTTGTTGAAATGGCTGAGGCTCAGGGTTGGCTAGCTAGGTATTTTAATCCAAAAGCCACACGCACACAAACATACACACGCCCCGTGAGGTGTAAGCAGCAGTCCACACTACCGTGCTTGAAAAACCACCACCAAAAGGCCAGAAAAACTAGCCTCCCAGCCCCGAGGTCCATCAGCCTAAAATAAACACAAAAGAAATAATAAATACACTACCGACACAAAGTTCTGAATAGTTAGTGATTCCAAAACATTCACCACAAAAGCAGCACTAACTTGTAGACAAAACAACAAATCACAGGGCAACAAAATGGCAACTTAATAAATTGGACAATACTCAACATCAAAACAGTAAACAAACATAACAACTTAGCACACAGGCAGCCGATGATGACTGGAGGGTGAGCCCACGTTCACAACTCGGCACATGCAGCGGTAACCGGATAGAAGGTTGTAGCATTAAAAACATACATCACAGCAGCAAAACAGCAGCGCAGTCTAAATGGATTTTATGCAGAAAACGATCAGCCCAACATCCACATTAAGACGGAGTGGGAGTTCAATCTTCAACTGGCTGGCTGGCAGCTGCCAGTGGTTGTCTGTCAGTCGGCCTTTGGCAAGTTTCAGAAACCATTGATTTTTGACAGTTTTTGTGTTCCTCCCTTTATAGCCTTTATCTGTTGAAATTATTGTTATTTAGTAGTAGGATCCCAATTTAATTAGTCAAATGGCCGTGATCCGACTGGCAGCTTACAGACGCTTGCTGGACGCTCATCCAGTCAGCCGATGTGGTAGTTATACAGTTCTCAAATTTAATCAAAAATATCTTCATTTGTGTTCCGAAGACGAACGAAGGTCTTACGGGGTTGGTACAGCATGGGGGTGAGTAATTAATGACTTAATTTTCATTTTTGGGTGAACTAACCCTTTAAAGCCCTTAACTGCTTGAACCCCGATAAATGCTGCTTGCAGCTTTAATTATTATTATTATTATTATTATTATATATTGTTTAATACTGTATAACGTGAAACTTTCTGAAACTTATCATACTGTGAAAATCTTACAACACTATTTCACACACATACATACAAACAAACACACACACACACACACACACACACACACACACACAGCCACCAGGGGTCCGTAGCATAAAAGGGGCACTTCATCTTATAACTTTGCAATGCTTTGATAAAAAATAAAAAAGAGAAGAAGAAACTATTTTGTTTCTAGTCCTTAGGGCTCTAAAGTTATGATTCAAAATACAAATTGCCTTATAGCGTCACCTACTGTAGAACGGGTGTGTCTGTATGCCTGAGTAGCGGTACACAAATTTGAGAGTCCCTATGAATGATTTATGTTCTCTGAAACCAATACACTTTTAGGGCAGAAAAAGGAGGAGAGGGAGCAGGAAGAAGAAAGACACAATCAGTACAAAGTAAAAAACTTTGTAGTGGAAGAAAAGTTTTTAAAGTAATAAAGTGAAAGTGAAATAGGCCAAGAATGTTACTTACCCTGATGTGGTTGTAGATTTCACCGTTGTAACACAACCAGAGGTAGGGAAACTTCTTGACACGCAGAGGCTGCATGCCATACAGCTGGTCCACAATAGCAAGGCGGTGAAACCCAAAGCAGCAGTTGGTGAATCCGTTGACATTCTCGAAGCGGAAAGCATCCGGACCACGATGGGCGATCTTCATGGCATTGGTGCACTGAGCCGAGAGGCACTCATCATTTCCAAACAAAGCCCATATACCACACATTCTGATGGGGAAAAAATGCTTTAAAACTAGTAGGAAGTCAAATTAGTAATGCTATCCTAACATTTTAACACAAGAATTCAAAACTGTTGAATACATAAACAAAAGTGCCTACAGGCCTATTGCGTCAAATAAATTGTATAGTTCATTGGACGTTGGATTTTCAATCAATAATTTTCTCTCTCCATGATTGGGAGTGATTGACACAATTGTGATAGGGGTGGCAGTGGCTCAGTGGTTTATGAAGGTTTTTGACAAACCAGAAGGTTGGTGGTTCAATCCCTCAAGTCAAATTAGTAATTCTATCCTAACATTTTAACACAAGAATTCAAAACTGTTGAATACATAAACAAAAGTGCCTACACAGAGCATTAAGATTGTGTTTTTCCATGTAGTCTCTCAAAGGTTTAACTGTACAGGTGAATTTTGACAAACTCTGATCTCTGTAGTCTTCATATTATTAAATACCTTAATTCATGTGAATGACAGTCTTGTATACAAGTCCCTTTAAAGTTGCGATCAAAGCTACTTGCTTTACAAATGTATTGATCCTTAAAAAGGTATTGTTATAGATCATGGAAGTTAATCCTCGAGGCCAAAGGAATGGCTTCTCTTGAAAATCTATAAAAGATTATAATTTGAGGAGGTTGATGAAGATCGAATGATTCGATTTTAAATTAGTCCCTTTAAAGATATTAGTCGATCTATTTTAGACAATTGACATATTAACATTTAATTATAATTTTTATGATTGATTATTGATAGTACAAATCTATTTTCGCCGACCTGGATGGAGAACTGATCATAATTTGTTGTGTTCGGCTGTCCAAACAGGCCGTTGGTAACTTTTCCCTTTACGGGTAATTTTATAATTTGTTAGTGATTCCCCGATCATGTTTCATGATTAGTTATTAAAATTATATTCCTTGTATCTGAGTTATAGGAATATCCCCAAGGTTCCCAACAAAGCATGAGAATATACCAACTGCTAGTAAAACCGGTCCTCTGATTGAACTTTATACCAACACTGTATACAAACAGTAAAACAGTTTGTAGTGTACACTCAACATAATCATCTCACTAGTAGCCTATGCAGCAGTTGGTTAAATGTGCAAAGATGCCATGACTTTTCAGTGTATGTGCACTGATATAGAGCTCGTAAGTCCCGCCCCTTCAGCTATCCCCGCTGGACCTCTAGGTTGAAAAATCGTCAATGCAAGTGAATGAGAGAAAATAATTATTTTCTAATCTCGTTTGAATCTTGTTTTTAAAAAGTATGGTGAAACTAAAGGAAGTCGGAATTGCGTGATACAATCTCGCAATATGCCTACTGATTTTTTTGCCTACTGAACCAGGAAAGGTTGTGGTTTAACATTACAACATGTTACTTAGCTGAAGAATGCCAACATATGCTATTATAATCACATTTCTAGCAGATTGATTGTGTAATCAATTCTTAATAAATCAATACAACGTGTAATGATTACCTGTAAAATATGTTTGATTTGGTGTATCTCGGAAGAGTTGAGAGTCTGAGAAGAACCTGTTCTTCGTCAGTGAAGCCCGGCTGATGAAATACACACCTGCTGCTGTATTTCAGCATTGCCTTACTTACATTTGACCTCAGACAGTAGGTGCGGCCAAGAACCATAGGCTGCTGGTTGGTCGATGTTTAGCATAGTTTTGTTTCCATGCTGCATTTACTTGCGATTTTTTTATTTTGATTTTGTTGCGGTTGTTGTTGTTGTTTTGAGGATATAAAAATATTCGCAAACACCAGTGATCATTACGAGATGCATGTCGGTGTGGTGACAACACCCCCCACCCCCCTTGAACAGTTGTCTGTAGGACCCCATTGGCTCAAATTTCTTTTATTCTACTCTCTACTACTCTACTTTATTTTTATATAGTGAGCCATTCATATTTTACACAGGCTATGTGCTTAGCATTATAATTAGGCTAACTGGATTTTTCATGACACTAGAATGTTCTCCGACTTCCTCCAAATGTCATTCTCCGAAGGTCATGCTGACCGGGCAAAATAATCTATTTTTTATTTATTTTTTTGGCAAAAAAATTTGGAAATTATTATTATTACTATTTTATTTTATAGGTTACGTTACACGAATCAAAAATACAAACAATATAAATAGGAAACACAGCATAAATGCCAAGGCTACGAGAAAAAAAGTGAAAGAAGAAAGAGGAAATAAAAAAATAGGCAGACTGAGAACAGGTTAGCCTGCTATATTTATGTTTGTGCAGCACATAACCAAACTTGTTACTGCACTAGCATTATAACAAAGCTTCTGCACATCAAACTTAACATGTTTCCGAATATGAATACATGCAGCTATTCACAACATTACTGTATGCCCTCTCTTCACACAGTAACGATCAAAACTCTTTCAAATGTCAAACATAACGGAAGCAGAGCAGAGCCAGTGCCGGTTCTTGAGCCGGAGGCAAAACCAGTGCCTGTTCCTGAGCCAGTGCCTGTTCCAGAGCTGGAGCTCATGTCGGTTCCGGACCCAGTGTTTGTGTCTGTCCTTGTGACCGTTTCTGTTCTAGTGTCTGTTCCTGAGCCGGTGTCTGTTCCTGAGCCGGTGTCTGTTCCTGAGCAGATGTCTGTTCCCGAAGCCGGTGTCTGTTCTCGAGCTGGTGTCTGGTCCTCAGAGGGCTTCACCGCCCTGGCCGCCCGAGGGGTCTGCACCGCCCTGGCCACCCGAGGGGTCTTCATCCCCCTGGCCACCCGAGGGGTCTTCACCTCCCTGGCCACCCGAAGGGTCTTCACCTCCCTGGCCACCCGAAGGGTCTTCACCGCCCTGGCCACCCAAAGGGTCTCCACCCCCCTGGCCACCCAAGGGGTCTTCACCGCCCTGGCCACCCAAAGGGGTCTTCACCCCCCTGGCCACCCAAAGGTTTTCCACCCCCCTGGCCACCCAAAGGGTCTCCACCCCCCTGGCCACCCAAGGGGTCTTCACCGCCCTGGCCACCCAAAGGTTTTCCACCCCCCTGGCCACCCAAAGGTTTTCCACCCCCCTGGCCACCCAAAGGGTCTCCACCCCCCTGGCCACCCAAGGGGTCTTCACCGCCCTGGCCACCCAAGGGGTCTTCACCGCCCTGGCCACCCAAGGGGTCTTCACTGCCCTGGCCACCCGAAGGGTCTTCACCGCCCTGGCCACCCGAAGGGTTTTCACCGCCCTGGCCACCCAAGGGGTCTTCACTGCCCTGGCCACCCGAAGGGTCTTCACCGCCCTGGCCACCCGAAGGGTTTTCACCGCCCTGGCCACCCGAGAGGTCTTCATCGCCCTGGCCACCTGAGGGGTCTTCACCGCCCTGGCCACCCGAAGGGTTTTCACCGCCCTGGCCACCCGAGAGGTCTTCATCGCCCTGGCCACCTGAGGGGTCTTCACCGCCCTGGCCACCCGAAGGGTTCTCACCGCCCTGGCCACCCGAGGGGTCTTCATCGCCCTGGCCACCCGATGGGGTCTTCATCGCCCTGAACTCTTGTGATTGTGTTGTAGTTGTTGTCGTGGAGTGTCTGGTAGCCACTCCGTGGGGGGGGGGGGGGGGGGGGGTTATGTCACAGTGTCTGGTTGTGTTCCCTTGTTTGTCCACTAGATGTCCTCCTTCCCCACTGTGTCATTCACTATCTGAAACTGCATTTCCCATCATCCTGTTCTGTCACTTACTGATCATTGCACTCAGCTGTTTCCTCTAATCATTGTCCCAGCTGTTCATTGTTAGTCTTGTTAGATCTGTGTGTTTTTTTTCCCTGTCTGTGTCAGTATATGTTACGGAGTCGTTGTTATGTCTGACACTTCCTAGTCTGTTCCTTGTGTTTTGTTATTTTTGTATTTGGATTGTTTACACGGTATTTGACCTTTGCCTGGAGTCCTGGACTGAATTTACGCTTTACGGATTACCCATTAAAACATCTATACTTCACTTGGATCTGCTGTCAATCCCCTGTGTGTATCGTGACAGGTGGATGCTGCACATGGGTGGTGGTTGAGTGCCGAGAAAAGCGCTATATAAATGTAATGAACTATCAATTATTATTATTAGATATAATTACATTCATTTCTGTTTGAATAAATATTTTCCAATATTATAAAAATACAGTTGAGCTTTGACAATTATTTTCTATTAATTTGACAGTTTAGTGGTATAACATGAAAAGTGGCTTGAGTAGCATTAGACACAACAATAGTAAAACCTGCATTCAGTTTTGCCATTGATAAGTGGTATTAATGTGCTTTGCAGTGAATTAATTGCATCAGCCTGTGTGTTTGACAAAGTCATCTGACTAGTAAAACCTGTCCTCACATGGCTGGTTTAAAACAACACGACTGACCAGTTTAACGGTAACATTTTTATGAATTCTAACAATGCGCTGTGAGAACATCTGAACATGAACATAGTCGGTATGTCTTTAGTGAAAGTAAACAGTATGAAAACGCATGTACACTTATCAGTATACTAAGGGAGGTGTGATAAGGGCAGGCTCGGCTGATGAAACACACATGCTACATTGCATGGCCTTGGTGACTCCTGAAAACGGGAATCGCTGCTGATTGGTTGAATATACCAAGTTTCCATGTCAATCTCTTGGTCATGACTATTCATCGAGTGCATTTTTTCTTTCTCAATTTCACATAATGAGCAAAAGACAATAACATTTATCAATGCAAATAAACAAGTATCAAGCAAGGCACGTATAAGATTTAGCAAATCTATAATAATAGTTTTTTTAAGTAAAAAAAAAAAAGTTTGAAACGCTAGAACTACTCACTTCCCAACTGTGGATTATTGTAACCCAATGCATTGGTTAAAAGTACCCTAACTGTCTTCACCCTATTGAAGAGATCAGAGCCCGTCTAACTGAGAGCCTTGGCACTTCCTATTAGCCCCGTTGTGCATCACCTTGGTTGCAGTTCCATTAGAATTCCACTGGAGGTGATCGCGGGCGAGAGCAGAATGAATGGGAGTCTAAGGGGCTAAACGGCTAAATGTGTCTCTTTCACCTGCTTGTCGTTAAATCAAAATAGATTTTATTGTTGATTCCGCAAGTTCAATATAGATTATAGGCCAAAAGTCGAATGAACGAGTACTTATGTCCTTTTGATTTCTTACAGGTTAGGCTGTTGTTGGCCAGAACACGCTAGCATTCTGCTATTGTGTGACGTCATCACATTTTTGAACGGATTTTTAGAACAGATAAGTGAACTTAATAATGCAATTTTCAGCTGAGCATATTTTTTTAGCCCTCCCTTTTGAATGCAACTTTCAAATTACTTGACATAAAATTACATCCTGAGAAAAGTGGATTCCTGCGCGTGAAACACCATTGACTCCCATTCATTCTGCACTCGACAGAGACGCGTTACTGCAGCCCAGAGCCATGAATGGCTCTGCTAATAAATTGTATGACTTCTATAGCCAGATATGAGTGGGGAGCAAGGAAAAGTGCACTACTACATGTATATCAAGCCTTGATACGGTCTAGTTTAGATTATGGGTGTGCAGTGTATGGTGGTGCATCAAAGTCAGAGCTAAAGAAGTTGGACAACATACAAGCTATAGGGAACTTAGGATCTGCTGTGGAGCAATAAGATCAACCCCTCTAGATGCCATCAGGGTTGAAATGGGGGAGATGCCACTAGATTTAAGAAGGGATACAATGATGTACTGGGTTAACTTGCAGGGTTGTAGTAAGAGCCATTGTACACAAGCAATTTTAAATGACTGTTGGGAATATAAAAAGAATAATGGGAATAGTTTTGGATGGAAGTATAAACAGTGGGTTGAGGAATGTGGTCTGGAAAATGTAGATATTTGTCCCAATATTCCATTAAAAGGGGTATCAGTGTGGAATATACCTGAGCCTAATGTTGAAATGAGATTGCTGGAGGATAGGGAGAAAGCGGAAGGAAGATATACAAATAGGCATGAAATTAATGCTTTTATGAGAGAAGTTTTTTATTCTTGTATACAGATCTATACAGATGGATCTAAAGACCCAGTAGAACAAAAAGTGAGCAGGAGTATATATTCCAAAATTTGAGACTAAAATAAGTTTAAGGTTGAGTGACATAATGTCTGTATATTCATCAGAATTAACTGCTATAATTGTAGGATTGCAGTGGTTAGAGCAGACTAAGCCAAATAGGATGGCGACTGTAATTTGTTCAGATTCTGCATCAGCACTTAAAAGTATACTATCAACAAAAACAGACAGAGAAGACTTGATGGTAGAAATTTATACATTATTATATAGGCTGAACATAGAGGGGATACTTGTATACTTTTGTTGGGTACCGGCACACATTGCGATAGTAGGAAACGAAATAGCGGATAAATTAGCAAAAGAAGCATTAAGGAAAGACTTGGTAGATATTAAGAGACCTTTAGGAAGAAATGAAGTTAGATCAATAATTAATAGAGAAATAATAAGAATATGGCAACAAAGATGGGAAAGTAGCAGTACAGGTACTGGTAGGTGGTATTTAATTATAGTATTGTAAAATCAGTAGGGATAAAATATTTGTGCTATGGAAGACATAGAAAGGAAGAAGTCATGATTTCTA